GGCGGCGGACGGCGAGCCGGCGGGAGGCTCCAGAGCGCCGCCGCCGCCCGGCGCGGCCTCGGCGGCCGCGTCCCCGCCGCCGCCGCCTCCTTTGTTTTCCGCCATGTTTCCTCCTTTGAACCCGACCCCGCTCCGCGCACGCTCCGCGTCACCGCGTCACCGGGCGGGAGCGGGCGGGACCGGCGCCGCGCACGCGCGCGCGCTCCCGCGGCAACGGCGCGGCCGGGAGGGCGGGTCGTGACGTCAGGAGAGGCGGGGCTTTGGGTCCAGGGATGAGAGCCTATTGGGCGGTGGTGGCGGCAGGGGCGCGGCCACGCCCCCTCGGGAACGCCCCCGGGCACGGGGATGGGGAACGGAGCACCGGGAATAGGGAACGGGGCACCGGGAATAGCACACCGGGCTGGGGAATAACGCACCGGGAACAGGGCATCGGGAATAGCACACCGGGCTGGGAATAACGCACTGGGCTGGGGAATACCCCATCAGGAGGGGGAATACCGCACCGGGAGGGGGAATAACGCACCGGGAACAGCGCACCGGGCTGGGGAATAACGCACTGGGCTGGGGAATACCGCACCGGGGTGGGGAATAACCGTTCCGGACGGGAAATGACAAACGCAGGCTGGGAAATAACCCACGGGGGAGGGGAATAACGCGTGAAGAGGGGGAATACCCGTTGGGCTGGGGAATAACCCACCGGGACCGGGAATATCCGTCGGCATGGGGAATACCCATTGGGATGGGAAATAACCCACTGGGCTGGGGAATAACACCCCGGGAAGGAGAATAACCCCCCGGGACCGGGAATAATGCACTGAGCTGGGGGAATGGGGCACCGGGATAGGGAATAACCCATTGGGATAGGGAACAAAGCACTGGGATGGGGAAACACCCATGAGGAAGGGGTATAAGGCACAGGGATGGGGGATAATGGAGCAGGATGGAGAACAGGGCACCAGGACAGGAAACAGCAGACCTGGATTGGGAATATCGCACTGGGATGGTGAACAGAGCAGCAGGATGGGGAATGGCACACCAGCACAGGGAAAAGGCCACTGGGACACAGAGCAGTGCATCGGGATGGGAGTCAGAGCATGGGGACAGGGCAGCAGGAGCAGGAAGATCAGGAATTGTGCCCTGGGATGAGGAACAGGGCAGGGGGTGGCACGTGGCAGCAGCTCTCTGGCCACCGAGAGCGACACACAACTTCCCCAGGCCTTGCTGTGAGGAGATCAGAGAAAAGAATGAGAAACAATTCTTATCTCCACTTGCTGCACCTGGTATTGTGAACATGCGAGATTTGTTTACCAAAGGGTGGTTTCTTAATTAGCCAATCATGTTGGTGTTTGGACAGGAGGACCAGTTAGGTCAACAACCTGTATCGAAAATATACAACATTTGTATATTACATTTGTATATTATCTGTCTATAAAAGCAATGGGTTTCTTAATAATGATATAATATAATAAAGAGGTTGATCAGCCTTCTTTAAATTGTGGATTCAATGCTAATTTTGACCTTCCTGGAAGGTCAACTGGAAAATTCCAGTTTCCCCCCACTTCCCCTGCAGGGGATTCTCAGGGTCCACCTGGCCCAGCCATCTCCTCCAGAGCTGCCAGGCTTTGGACACAAAGCAGAAACCAGAGAAATAACAAAACAGGATTTATTAAAGGCGTAGGGGAAAACACAACAACGTGAGCTCCTGCTTTAAATATGTAAAAAGTTAAACAATTCACAGTACATTTAATGGTGCCTGTGACACATTTAAACAGGATGTTTAGAGTCCACCCTACCTCCTCCTAGAATTTAAAACAAGGAAAAGAAAGGATGGAAACACCCTTTTACCACCTCACACAACTGCAACTAGAGGTGTTTACAGACACAGCATCTCCAAAGTGTCTGGTTTGTAGTTTTTAACACATGCAGCACTAAGACAAGTCAGGATTAATTCACTGAAAGTCTTGCTGGATATTCTCCTTGTTTGCTTCCCCATGCTGCTGCTTGATTTGTGAAATTTCATTTTCCAGCTGCACAATAGTTCGTTCAATCTCATAATTTTTACTGACAAGAGAGACCCACCTGGAAGGGAAAAGAAACAAAAAGAGCCTTTAGGTGTTATGTTACAGTCCTCTGATCAAAAATCAAAGACAACCATTGCTCCAAAGCAAGCAGAAACACCAAATAAAGCAGCATTTTTCTTAACACTTGATAATCCTTAGTTGACATCAATGGTCATTGGAACAACCAAAGTGACAATGAGTAATTTTTAACCCTGTTAAACCTGAAAACACAAGAAGTTTAATGACTAGACTCATCCACCGACTGCCAATATTGAGATAAAGAAGAGTTTAAGACAATTTAGGAAATTTGAAGCAGCTAATAAGTATATCCTCTTCCCATGTGTTGATTCACTCAACCTCAGCAAATACAATATGGAATCAAACTACAAATACTTTAAAACACCTCCTGCAAAGGAACAGTATCCTACAGCAGCACCAAAGGATCACTGAATTTCAAGTGGAAGAAGAATTTCAAGTGAATTTCAAGCAATGGAGAAACTGTGGAAGGGTTAACAGAGGAATGTCAACACTCACGTGGATTCCATCTCCCTCAGCTTAGCCCCAGCTGTGAGCTGCATGTTCTTCCTCTGCCAGTTCAGGTCTTGAATGTTTTTCCTGGGGAGAAAAAGATGTATTTTTATTTACTCATTTCATTGGCATCTGCAGCACCTGTTGCTAATTTCCAAGTATTCTCAATTCCTAGAAGTACTGCCAGAAAACATTTGTGTAGCCAGGACTGTAATGACAACATCCAGATGGACAAATCTCAGTACAGGGCTCAGAGAGAACCCTGAAATAAATAAAAATAAAAGGCCAAACCCAACATCAGGGAAGATGTTCTTACAGAGACAACTGCACATTAAATTATCAGCAGTGAAATGAAAGCATTGCTACATTTCAGGGAGGATTCCACAAATCCAGAGCAGAGGTTCAAACAAACCAAACACAGAATTTTGAGTAGAACAGACATGATGAATGTAACTGCCTGGGGAGGGCAGGGTCACATTTCTCAATTATTAATTGTTTTTACTGGGTCTTTTTCCCTGTGACCATGGCAGCAGCATACATATTCCTCTGTATAGCATGGGGGGAGAGAAAGGTTCACTTCCAATTTCAGTACAAAAACATAAATAAGAAGACCCACCTCAATTTCTGAAGCTCTTTCTGGGCTTGTTCTATCATATGAACCAGGTGCCTGATGACAGAATGCAAGCAAAGCATTAAAAACACACAAATGGTAAACCAGCCCCATTTCACCTGACATTTAACTTGTCAGAATTAAGGATCCAACAAGGCCCTGCAGCACCTTGGCCCAGCCAGCAGATCCTTTACCTGCTTCCCTTCTCCTGAGCTCAGGAACCCTCTGCCTTCTCTCAGTTTGGAATTCCTTTGGCCTACTCTTTTATCTAATGCTTAGCCAACCCTTCTCAAAAGTGGACTCCCTGAAATATCCCCAGTGCTTCCTGCAGCCATGCTCTACAACCTTTTCTTGGCTTTTGCAGCAGATTTATTACAGCTCCAGGCTAAGCCCAAGATCTGTAGCAACTCATCTTCATTTCCACTACTGAGTTATTCCTTCACAGGCTATCACCAGCCTTAATTAACACCCACTCTCATCAACAGTAACCCACAACATTCAAGACTGGGATGTATTAAAACACATGCTGTTCCTTGGCCACAGAGACAGCTTTGAGATCACTCCTCTTTCACTCACAGCTCTCTCACAGGGGTTCATCTATTCCAGGCTACATTCTAAAGATTCCCACTGGATTTACACCCAATAAACAGACAGGAATTCAACACAGAATTTGTGTCCAGCAGAGCAGCTGAGGCCTTACTCATTGTACACCTTCCAGGCGTTGCAGCCGTGCTGGGACATGAGCTCCAGGTTCTCGATGCGCACAGCCTGGTGCTCCAGCTGTGCCATGGAATTGTTCACACACTCCTGCCACGCCGTGATGTCGTTCTTCTGCCCGGAGGAGGGGGCTGGCAGCTCGTACCTGCAAAGGGCACGGCTCACCCTGGGCACGGCTCACCCGGGGCACCGGGCACAGCTCACCCTGGGCACGGCTCACCCGGGGCACCGGGCACAGCTCACCCTGGGCACGGCTCACCCGGGGCACCGGGCACGGCCCTGCCGGCCCCACTCACCTCTTCATACTGAGCAGCTCCAGGGGCTGCCGGGCCGCCAGGCGCTCGAACTCGTTCCGCATGATCTCGGTCTGCGGGGAAGGCAGCGGTGAGGGACAGGCGGGGACGGGGGGTCACACAAACGGGGTATGGTGGGGAGGACGGGGACAGGACACAAACGGGTAACGGGGCAGGGGAGAGACACAGGAGGGGTGCGGCACCTCTTCATACTGAGCAGCTCCAGGGGCTGCCGGGCCGCCAGGCGCTCGAACTCGTTCCGCATGATCTCGGTCTGCGGGGAAGGCAGCGGTGAGGGACAGGCGGGGACGGGGGGTCACACAAACGGGGTATGGTGGGGAGGACGGGGACAGGACACAAACGGGTAACGGGGCAGGGGGAGAGACACAGGAGGGGTGCGGGGTGGGGAGTCCGGCGGTGGGCACACGAGGAGGGTACGGGGGAAGGCCGGGGACAGGCAGGGTCTGTCCCAGCCAGGTTACGGATGGGGACAAGCGGGCTATGGGGCGCGGGAGCCCGGTCGGGATACGGGGAGGCACTGGGCCGGGCGCTGGGAGCTGCCAGGCCGCCTCATCTCACCTCGAAGGCGCTGTAGTCGTGCGCGGGCAGGTAGCTCAGGTAGTTCTTGGTGGGCCGGTACCGCCGCGTCTCCTCCTCCACCAGCGCCGCGGCCTAACGCACACGGGGCGTCAGGCAGGCGGGCAGCCCGCCCGCCGCCCCGGCCCCTCCCCGCCGCCGCCCCGGCCCCACACGCACCGCCTCCCGCACGCCCGGCGCCTCGTAGCCCTGGTCGAAGTAGGGCAGCGCATCCACCACAACATCGCCGGCCACCAGCCCCGGGCCCGACATCTTGGCCGCGGCCGCGCGCACTGCGCGTGCGCACTCACGTCACGCCCGGCGGCACCGCACAGGGCTCGGTCGCAAACCCCGCCCCCGGGGATCAAACCCCGCCCCTCTGTGCCCAAACCCCGCCCCTTCCCGGCCTGCTCCAGCCCCGCCCCTCAGCCCAGGCCCCGCCCCTCCCGGGTGGCTCCAGCCCCGGTCCCGCCGCTCCCGGAGGTTTCCAGGCCTACCCCCGCTCCTCCCGGTGCGATTCCGACCCTGGCCCTTTCCCTCCCTGCCCGGTTCCGCCTTCCCTCCCGCTTCACTCCCGGAGTCACTCCAGCCCTGGCCCCGCCCCCTTAAGGAACGGAGACACGTGACAGGTTGGATGGATGAGCTGTTATTGATCCATGGAACTCCTTATCAATCCGTAAGCTGTTATCAGTCCACAGAAGTGGTTATCAATCCATGAGCTTTATCGATCCATGGAACTCGTTATCGATCCATGGAACTGGTTATGGACCCATGAGCTGTTATTGATCCATGGAACTGGTTATGGATCCATGAGCTGTTATCGATCCATGGAACTGGTTATGGATCCATGAGCTGTTATCGATCCTGGTGCCGGCTGTTCCCGCAGCACTCGCGGAGCCCCCGGCCCAGCCCGGCCCTCCCGGGGCCCGGCTCGGTCCGGCCCGGGCGGGGTCCGTGGTTCCCCCTCCCGCCGCTGTCCCGCAGCAGCGCCCGGTCACTTCTTCTGCAGGAATTTCATTTTGCTGCCTGCGGAGAAGAACCAGCATTAGGAGCTTTAGGTGAGCGTGGGCAGGCCCTGGCACAGGTGCCCAGAGCAGCTGTGGCTGTCCCTGCATCCCTGGCAGTGCCCAAGGCCAGGCTGGACAGGGCTGGGAGCAGCCTGGCACAGTGGGAGGTGTCCCAGCCTGTGGCAGAACTGGTCCCATCCATGGAACTGGTTATGGATCCATGAGCTGTTATCGATCCTGGTGCCGGCTGTTCCCGCAGCACTCGCGGAGCCCCCGGCCCAGCCCGGCCCTCCCGGGGCCCGGCTCGGTCCGGCCCGGGCGGGGTCCGTGGTTCCCCCTCCCGCCGCTGTCCCGCAGCAGCGCCCGGTCACTTCTTCTGCAGGAATTTCATTTTGCTGCCTGCGGAGAAGAACCAGCATTAGGAGCTTTAGGTGAGCGTGGGCAGGCCCTGGCACAGGTGCCCAGAGCAGCTGTGGCTGTCCCTGCATCCCTGGCAGTGCCCAAGGCCAGGCTGGACAGGGCTGGGAGCAGCCTGGGACAGTGGGAGGTGTCCCTGCCTGTGGCAGAACTGGTCCCTTCCCACCCAAATCATGGTGGGATTCTGTGAGCTGGAGACACTCCAGGACTCATCAGGCTGAGGAGCTTAAGGTGGAAAGCCACACATGGCCACCCCTGCCAGCAGACACAACTTTGGTCCCCTGGGCATGTCCTCAGCCAGGACCAAAGTTCAGGAACAAGCACTCAGAGCAGCAACTTAACAAATTTTATCTAAAGATATAAAAGCTTAAAAAGAAAAGAAAAACCTTACACAGTGTTCAGTGCCCCCTGAAGGAGTAAATGTAAACAAGGGAACCCAGGTGCAGAAGGAGAAGGAGCCTTCCTCTCTTTTGTAACAAATTAATGATTCAATAGCTACAATTAATTAAATAAAAAAAACAAACTATGAACAAAAGCAAGGTGTGTTCCTTTACCAAGACTGCGAAGGATTTTGTTCATTCCAGTTCGTTCCGTCTCTGGAATCCTCTCCAAATACTCCAAGGCACGGACCTCAAAAAGGCCTAAAGAGAAAAAAAAAATTAAAAATCACTCACCAAATGAGTTACTCCATCTTTTAGCATGTGGCATCATGATTAACAAGGCCACAAAAGGAAATCATGTATGCAGTGTGTGTAAGCTGCAGGATCAAGGAGAAAGGAGAGAGATGCAGAAATTGTGTGCTTTATAAACTGAATTATTTTGAGTAATTACAAGGGCACGGGGCTATTCCATGTGATATAATTCCAACAGCAGAGGCAGGTGGCATCATACTTCGAGAGGGAGTCTGTGGAGCAGAGTTCAAACAAGAAGGTGATGCCAAAACAAGAAACAAGAGGGTGATGCCTCTGATGCCTCAGGTTTTAGCTTGTCTATTTTTCAGATTCTGTGCTGCTTTAGTGTGTGGGTCTGGGCTTCACATTAGGGGATGGTGAGCTCTCTGCACAGAGCAGGGAGAAAAAACAATTCCTTCTCTAGCTGGGGACCAAGGACAAATGATCCAAATCTCAGGCCCAAGAGCACAAACAACGTGGGCTGAAGAGAGAAAAACAAGGATGGGACTGCATGGGCTAAAGCTGGAATTGGACAATTAACTGCAATGTGCAAATGGAGCAGAACTTATAAAATGTGAGACCCTGTGTTCCTCCATGTGCAGAATAATATCTGCCCATCACTATGATGAGAATTGTAACAGTAATTTAATGCTTTAGAATGCTGTAAAAAAGGTTTCAGCAAGTTTGTTTTTACCCCAACTGGCTTCAGCAATAGCACTGAAATAATTAGATCAGGTTAGGTGTTGTTAGAACTCTAATCACAGTTCTGCTCTGTAGGTAGGTCTCTGAGACCTACCTTTTGCAACTTTCCCAAAACCCTCTAATGGAGTAATCACAGATCTTCTGAACAGAGAGAGACATAACTCTCTCCCAGAATTTCCCTGGGAAGCTGTGAGAAGGCTCAGAGAAAAGAATGAGAAACAATTCTTATCTCCACTTGCTGCACCTGTTGTTGTGCACATGTGGAATGTGTCATGGAGATTTGTTTACCAAAGGGTGGTTTCTTAATTGGACACTGGTGATGGTGTTTTGGCTCCATTGACCAACGGGATCCACGTGTGTGTCTAGCAAGGGTGATGGGTTTCTTCTGAATAGTATAGTAGAATAAAACAATTGATTAGCCTCCTGCAATCATGGAGTCAATACTAATTGTTACCCAGCAGGGACCACTGCTACAATACTCTAATTTTAGATATTGCTACACCCATGACCAGCCATCCATTTTTGTGACCATTTTGGGTTCACCTGGGCGCAGCCCTGGCCGGGCTCTTGTGCTGCCCAAGGTGCATCCATTGAGGAGATCCTTTTAATAAATCCCTGCTTTATTCTTTAACTCTGTCTAGCTGTGGCTGCAGGCCCCCAGCTGGGTAATAATTAGCATTGACTCCATAATTGCAGAAGGCTGGTCAATTGCTTTATTCCTCTACACTAAATTATACTATATTTATTGTGGAAAAAATGCTAATCACTTGTTTTTAGAATTTTAAAAGTTTAATAGTAATAAAATGGTTATAAAAATAGTAATATAATTAGAGTAATAAAAATTTGGACAATTAGGATTTAGGACAATATGAGACAATAAAAACAAAGAGTTACAGACAGTTCAGGTACCTCTTTCTGGGCAAAATAAGCCCAAAAAAGGACCCATGTTAACAGAGGATTAACCCTTAAAAACAACAGCCTGTTGCATATTCATACACCTCATACATGATGCATAAATTCCATTCAAACAAAGGATTCTGTCTGGTCAGTGTCAGCTTCTTCCTCTGAATCCTAATGGCATCTTCAGGGCTGAGCAAGGTGGGAAGAACTCGATAAGAGAGCAATAAATTCTTTTTTTCTGAAAGATTTAGGTGTCCTGTGGCTGCTATCCCAGTGCCAGTCTTTTCTTAAAGTGTCTTACATAGCATAGTTTCTATTTTAACATTATGTTATAACTTAAAACTATATTTAACACACTACTTAAGAAAATTAATACGGCATAATTTTCTAACATAACATATATAATATTAATATTTGCAAAAAGCCAATCATAAAATATGCATTTTTCACATTTATTAAGAAGCTCATAACCCTTACTGACCATCTGATACAGCTTTGACCTAATTGGTAAATCCCTCCAAACACCATCACCAGTGTCCAGTTAAGATCCCACCCTTTGGTAAACAAATCTCCATGACACATTCCACATGCGCACAACAACAGGGCACAGCAAGTGGAGATAAAACTGTTTCTCATTCTTTTCTCTGAGCTTTTCACAGCTTCCCAGGAAAACCCTGAGAGAGAGCTGTCTCTGTTCAGAGGATCTGTGATTACCACATCCAGCTTCTGTTGTAGGTGAGGCTTCACAAGGCATCACCTTTGGCCAGGCTCTTGCTAAGCTCCCAATCAGCAAGCTTGTAACCCTTACTGACTGTCCAATACAGCTTTGACCTAACTGATCAATCAATCCAAACACCATCACCAGTGTCCAATTAAGATACCACCCTTTGGTAAACAAATCTCCATGACACACTCCACATGTGCACAACAACAGGTGCAGCAAGTGGAGATAAGAACTGTTTCTCATTCTTTTCTCTGAGCTTTTCACAGCTTCCCAAGAAAACCCTGGCAGAGAGCTGTCTCCGTTCAGAGGATCTGTAATTACCACATCCAGCTTCTGTTGTAGGTGAGGCTTCACAAGGCATCACCTTTGGCCAGGCTCTTGCTGAGCTCGCAGTCAGCAAGCTCGTAACTCTTACTGACCATTGGAGAGAGCTTTGATCTAACTGTTCAATCAATCCAAAGCTCGTAACCCATACTGACCATCCCATACAGCTTTGACCTAACTCAACAATCAATCCAAACACCATCACCAGTGTCCAATTAAGAAATCACCCTTTGGTAAACAAATCTCCATGACACATTCCACAGGTGCACAACAACAGGTGCAGCAAGTGGAGATAAGAATTGTTTCTCACAGCTTCCCAGGAAAACCCTGGGAGAGCGATGTCTCTCTCTGTTCAGAGGACCTGTGATTACCACACCCAGCCTGTGTTGCAGGTGAGGCTTCACAAGGCATCACCTTTGGCCAGGCTCTTGCTGAGCTCGCGGTCCTGGATGAAGCCGGCGAACATCTGTGTCTCCATGAAGCCGTGCAGGAAGTGGCGCACGGTGCGCGAGCCGTGGGACTTGCGGAAGGGCTCGCGCTGGAACACGCGCTGGCCCTGCTCCGTCACGCTCATGTGCAGCGAGTAGTGCCCCACGATCTCCACGAAGAACTGCACAAAAGCCTCCGAGACCAGCGAGTTCAGGCTCGTGTCACCTGCGGGGAGGACATTTGGCACTTTGGTCATTGCTCTCCAGGGGTTTCTCTGGGTCTGGATTGAAGGCACTGGAGATGATAGTTCATGTTCAGACTCAGGTGTTTATTATTTCTTCTCAGTAAAACAGTCTCACTGCTGTGAGTTCTGCAGCTTTTCATTAGAAGGCACAAAATGGCTAACAATCTCTTGTTACAAGGTCTTTTAAAGCTAAACTGTCCAATTAAGAACTGACACCTAGATTATTTCCCTGTCAAACATCTGGTGTGTAATGAGCTTTTAGCTCGTAACAGGCTAAGTTTAATTCTCTTCAAGAATTAGGCAAACTACAGAAGACAAACTCTCTGTAAAACAGAGAATTTATATTTATGGAATTATATAATTTGCTGGTGCCATTCTCTCAAGCCCCTCAGAGTTTTTTAAGTTTCTCACACTCCCTTATCTGATGAATCATGTATAAAGCAGTCCAACCTGGAAAATTATTGGCCAGATTACCCTCTAAAATACAGAAATTTGCTACATTCTCTGAGAAAAACATTGTCTCTGCCACTTAGAAAAATAGAATAAAATTTAAAGCACAACTGGATACAATAAAATTCAAAGCACAAAGGAACTGATCCTGTTGGCCCAAAGGAAACTACATTTCTGCACACACTAATTGTGAAAAGAGGAACTGTCAGCACACCAACCTTCTCACACATTCACAAGATGTTCTCAGCAAGATCACAGGGAAACAGCTAAAATGTCACTTCTTAGTGTTTTTTTACAATTTGCTCATTTCTACCAACTCCATGGCAGAGATCTGCTAATGGGAAAACATTTTTCCAAAGAACCTTTTCCGTGCACAACAACAGGTGCAGCAAGTGGAGATAAGAATTGTTTCTCATTCTTTTCTCTGAGCTTCTCACAGCTTCCCAGGAAAACGCTGGCAGAGAGCTGTCTCTGTTCAGAGGATCTGTTATTACCACATCCAGCTTCTGTTGTAGGTGAGGCTTCACAAGGCATCACCTTTGGCCAGGCTCTTGCTAAGCTCCCAATCAGCAAGCTCGTAACCCTTACTGACTGTCCAATACAGCTTTGACCTAACTGATCAATCAATCCAAACACCATCACCAGTGTCCAATTAAGATACCACCCTTTGGTAAACAAATCTCCATGACACACTCCACATGTGCACAACAACAGGTGCAGCAAGTGGAGATAAGAATTGTTTCTCATTCTTTTCTCTGAGCTTCTCACAGCTTCCCAGGAAAACGCTGGCAGAGAGCTGTCTCTGTTCAGAGGATCTGTGATTACCACATCCAGCTTCTGTTGTAGGTGAGGCTTCACAAGGCATCACCTTTGGCCAGGCTCTTGCTGAGCTCGCAGTCAGCAAGCTCGTAACTCTTACTGACCATTGGAGAGAGCTTTGATCTAACTGGCAATCAATCCAAAGCTCGTAACCCATACTGACCGTCCCATACAGCTTTGACCTAACTCAACAATCAATCCAAACACCATCACCAGTGTCCAATTAAGAAATCACCCTTTGGTAAACAAATCTCCATGACACATTCCACAGGTGCACAACAACAGGTGCAGCAAGTGGAGATAAGAATTGTTTCTCACAGCTTCCCAGGAAAACCCTGGGAGAGCGATGTCTCTCTCTGTTCAGAGGACCTGTGATTACCACACCCAGCCTGTGTTGCAGGTGAGGCTTCACAAGGCATCACCTTTGGCCAGGCTCTTGCTGAGCTCGCGGTCCTGGATGAAGCCGGCGAACATCTGTGTCTCCATGAAGCCGTGCAGGAAGTGGCGCACGGTGCGCGAGCCGTGGGACTTGCGGAAGGGCTCGCGCTGGAACACGCGCTGGCCCTGCTCCGTCACGCTCATGTGCAGCGAGTAGTGCCCCACGATCTCCACGAAGAACTGCACAAAAGCCTCCGAGACCAGCGAGTTCAGGCTCGTGTCACCTGCGGGGAGGACATTTGGCACTTTGGTCATTGCTCTCCAGGGGTTTCTCTCGGTCTGGATTGAAGGCACTGGAGATGATAGTTCATGTTCAGACTCAGGTGTTTATTATTTCTTCTCAGTAAAACAGTCTCACTGCTGTGAGTTCTGCAGCTTTTCATTAGAAGGCACAAAATGGCCAAAAATCTCTTGTTACAAGGTCTTTTAAAGCTAAACTGTCCAATTAAGAACTGACACCTAGATTATTTCCCTGTCAAACATCTGGTGTGTAATGAGCTTTTAGCTCGTAACAGGCTGTTTAATTCTCTTCAAGAATTAGGCAAACTACAGAAGACAAACTCTCTGTAAAACAGAGAATTTATATTTATGGAATTATATAATTTGCTGGTGCCATTCTCTCAAGCCCCTCAGAGTTTTTTAAGTTTCTCACACTCCCTTATCTGATGAATCATGTATAAAGCAGTCCAACCTGGAAAATTATTGGCCAGATTACCCTCTAAAATACAGAAATTTGCTACATTCTCTGAGAAAAACATTGTCTCTGCCACTTAGAAAAATAGAATAAAATTTAAAGCACAACTGGATACAATAAAATTCAAAGCACAAAGGAACTGATCCTGTTGGCCCAAAGGAAACTACATTTCTGCACACACTAATTGTGAAAAGAGGAACTGTCAGCACACCAACCTTCTCACACATTCACAAGATGTTCTCAGCAAGATCACAGGGAAACAGCTAAAATGTCACTTCTTAGTGTTTTTTTTCAATTTGCTCATTTCTACCAACTCCATGGCAGAGATCTGCTAATGGGAAAACATTTTTCCAAAGAACCTTTTCCACAGAAAGTACCTTGTGTGTCAGTCTGCTCGTGTGACAGGATTTCACTCCGTTCTTCCAGGATTTGTACAAGTGCAGCCTGCAGTTTATGGGGCAGGATCTCATCCTCATCTGATGCCTACAGGCAGAAACAGCCAAGGAAGGACTTTTGTGTTATTCCTATCAGCAGGAGAACCAGGGTGTAGATTAGAAATATTCATATCATGCCTAAAGCAGTTAGAGGGGAGTTATTCTGTGATATATCTTAAGGGAGACAATATATTTATCTTGCAACCACAGAAATTAAACACATTTGCTCAGCATGCCCCAAGTAGATTTTATTAGAGTCACACAACTGGCCACCACACAGACTCAGGCTTATTTCACCAGTAAAACACACAAAACCAATAAAAGTCTGTTGAGAAAATATTACAAGTTTCATAATATGGTTTAAAAAATCCCCCATTTCTTTAATACCTTTCTCCAGTTGCAGGCTGCAATACAAAACAGAACAGTGAGGCAAGGAAAAGGAGAAGCAAATATCCTGAGCTAGTAACAAAATCCCCAGCATTTTTATAGCTACTTGTCTGGGGATGCAGAAGCACTTTTGGGGAAGTTCAGCAGAGAACCCCAAGTGAACTGTGATTGTTTGTTCCCTAGACTGTCACTCCTGGGAAAAACAAGAACCCAAACCAACACACACCCCCCAGCTGGATGAGAGAGGAGAAAGTGCTGTACAGAACAGGGAGAGACAGACAAAAACAGCAGAGAATCTTAGGGACTCCCTTCACCTAAGAAACCAAGTAAGAGTTTTTAAACTCAGCTCAGACAAGCAGCATCTTTGGCTTTGCAGAGCTCTCCACCTCATGCAACCTCAACATTGCAATAAGGATTTGTAAGACCGTTTCTTTCTCTGTCAGTTCAAAAGGATTACAAGGTATTTCTTCAGCCACTGGAGTCTCCATATGAAGACCAGCTTCTCCTGATTTCTTTTTATGTTTTTTTTTTTCATCAATGCCTTTTCCTGGCATAAACCCACAAGTTACTGGTACTGTTATTTCACTCACCTCTTGCAAGAACTTGTCAGCACAAAGATCAACAATCAGAACCTGGGGAGACACAGAAAACACACTGACTCATAACCAGGTATGTTGCTGTATAGAAAAAACCCAGGTTTTAATTTGTTTTTTAGATGTGGGATGTTTTTTAAATAGGGCTGTCACACACAAAACACAAGTTTTGCATGGGTGCAGCCTGTCTCTGAGAACAGTGAATATTATTATTTTTGATAATGCTGGAACATCCTGACATTTATCTGGCAAATTCACCAAGCGGCTCAGAGAAGTTAGAGAGTTTATACTGAGACAGAATCCAGAGATTATTCCAGAGAGGTCAGCCTCATCCCACTGACACTGTCTGTGTCTCACATATCCTCACCTCCTCTATGGGCAGGTCCCAGAGCTGTGGCAGGGAGCAGGAGAGGATGCCAATGAGGAACGGGGTCGGAGAGCACACGATGTCGATCATGGAAGCTGGCAGGACGGGGATGTAGGTGTGCTGCCAGGTGAAGGGGTAAAGTGTTGCCACTGCAGCGTGCCCACATTTAGACAGAGTGCTGGAGAGGTGGGAGAAGCACAGGGAGGGTGGTCAGGGTCTCCTTCAGGGCAGGTGTCACGCGTGTACAGTCTGTGCATCAGCAGAGGGCCCATGCACCCACTTCTGAACTCAGTTATGGGGAGCTAAAACCACCATCAAGCCAGGTTAAAGAGGCAAAAAGGAAACATTCCCTTATCTCCTCTTGTGTAAACAGCATACTCCCAATTCTAGGCATGCACATGCTGTGTGGGGAGTGCAGAACGTTTTCAAATGGAACTAACTGCAAAACTAGACAAGCTTGGACATGGGACAGGTCCAAACACAGAAGAAACAATAACAACCAGTGACAGCCTCCCTCAGCAAGAGCTACTCAGACTCATCTCTTACCTTAAGTTGTCAGCCACAAAGATGACCCTCCTTTCCAGCAGGAGAGAGGCAAACACCCGGATGGTGTGGGACACACTCAGACACTGCAAGAGGCACTCAAAGTCAACGTGCTCCAGCCTGGAGTCCAAGGGGCGGCACAGCTCCATCACCTGGGAGCACACAGACACGGGGAGAGCTGGGGGAGAGCCCAGAGCAGGGACCTCAGCCTGAGGCACAGCTCAGCAGCTCCTCCTGAGGGGCAGGACCCAGGGAAAGGCTGGAGCTGTGCCAAGGGAGTTTAGGTTGGATATCAGGGAAAGGTTCTGCCCCCAGAGGCACTGCCCAGGCTCCCTGGGGAATGGGCACAACCCCGAGGCTGCCAGAGCTCCAGGAGTGTTTGGACAGCACTCCAGGGATGGGATTGTTGGGGTGCCAGGGGTTGGACTCAATGATCCTTGTGGTTCCCTTCCAGCTCAGGATATTCTCTGAATCCATGATTCTACATAGAATCCCATGACCCAGACAGCTGGCATGGGGCAGCACAGAAGAGTGCCCCAGAAACTCTTCATTAAGAAGCAGGGAATCACTTCCACGGCAGATGATTCCACAGCAAACACATCTCTGGGACAGTCTCCCTTCCAACTCCAGGATGTTTTCTTCACACTAATTATTTCCAGGTATAGTGAAGCAAGGCAACCTCGACAAAGGGGAGAAATCTCCATTGATGTTAGAAGGCTAACTCATTACTTTATTCTGCTATATTTTTCTACACTACATCTAAACTGAATCTGCACACACACTCAACTGAACAGAATCTCGTGACTGTCAGCCAACAGTCCCGACACACACACCTGGATTCAACTGGTCAATGAATCAAAACACACCAGAATCCAATGACCAATTCCCTTCAGGTAAACAATTCCTTCAGGTAAACAATCTTCCACAATGCATTCCACTTGTTCAAAACACAGGAGCAGTAAATGAGATAAGAATTATTTTTTCTTTTTCTGAGGTTCAGAGAATGTGAATCCCAGAAATATCCTTGGGAAGTTGTGCCTTGCTTTTCTCTGTGAAGAGAAATGCGGCCACATCCAGGCACCACAGTGCAGTTTGCAAAGAGCCTTTGTGCCCTCTCTGAGACCCCAGAGAGAGCAGGCAGCTCATCCTGAGCTGTGTTACCTCATCTCCTGCTCCTGGCAGGAAGCTCCTGACGGTGATGGTGCGGCCCGGGGCGGGGAACGGCGCCTCCATCACGCTGCGCATGAAGGGGTGCACCAGCGCTGGGGACATCTCTCGCCTCTTCTCCACCTCATCCAGGATCTGCAGGGAAACACACAGAGCCTTGGGTCACTGCTCCTGCTGAGCACAGGGGAGAATCCATCAGAGAAGGATCCAGCACAGACCCACTGCCCTCTCCCACCTCGCTTGGGACCCCTGTGAAATTCATCTCAAATGTCTGAACAGTCAAACAGGAACAGCTTCCTGTGAGCACAGCTCTCCAGTCTCCTGCCACTGGAAGGAAATATCTTGTATGTAGTCATCAAATTCTCATTATTTAGAGGAGTTAAGAGGAGCAACACCCATCCCCCTCACCAAGAAACCTCCCTGAAATGCTGTTCTAGAAACTCTGTGCTCCAATGATCAGAACCATCTTCCATCAAAGCTTGTCCCTGTATTCTGCTGCAATAACTGCACTTTATCTGCAGCAGCTTTCCACAGTCCTCACCTCCTTATCTCCCCTCCTCATGGTGCTGCAAAAAACCAGGGAAGATCCAACCCTGTCCCAAGCTGATTTTCCATTTCCAAGTCACAGAAGAAGAAGATGAAGGGGCACCCTCAGTAACAGCAGGTATCAGAGGATGAAGGGGCACCCTCAGTAACACCAGTTATTAGAGGATGAAGGGGCACCCTCAGTAACACCAGGTATTAGAGGATGAAGGGGCACCCTCAGTAACAGCAAGTATCAGAAGGCCTTTCCTGGCAGTAATTGCTGAAGGATTTGAGCATTGCCTGACAAGGCTCAGCACCAGGATTATATTTCCCTGCTCAAAGCAAAGACAGAGAGGAAGCACCACTCTCCTGGGATGAGCTGCAATCACTAAGCCTGACAGAAGCATCCAGTCACTGTGCAGCCTGCAGGCTGTCAGGGCTCAGGAATAGGCTGTGCCAGCTCACCTTGGAGAAGAGGTTGAAGCAGCCCAGGCGGCTCACGATGCAGTACACCTCAGGCAGGCGCTTCCCTTTCCCTTCTGGCTGAAAGGCAACAGCAACAGCTCTGCTGAGAACAGGGGGGCAAGGATCAACCCAGCACCCACACTGCAGCTGATCTGCAGAACTCCTTCTGCTACAGCCCTCCCTACATTTATGACTATGAAGGTTCTCAAGGAACACCCAGTTCCAGGAGCTGGGTCATGCCCAGAGCCCATTTCCCTATTTCTGGGCACCATCATGACCCTTCCCTCTGCAACCCAAGGGCTGGCACCACCACAGCAGCACAGGATGGGTAATCCACGTGGGAAAGCAGCCCTGAGTCACATCCTGACAGTGCCCAGACAGTGCTTCCTGTACCCCCAGCCCTCCCAGAGATGCTCACCAGGAGCTTCCTGCAGTACCCGAACCAGCGGCTGCCGTCCTCCCCCGTCAGCACAAAGGAAAAGGTTTCACTGGGGAACAAGGAGAGTCAGGGTTAAATTCACCACACAGCCCAGGGGACAGACTGACAAAGCACACAGACTCCTTCTGGTCATGCTGACAAGGGCCCAGGCATGATTACAAGGACTTTGGGATCTGTTCAGGGTAAAAACCTGCACCCCATGAGCTTTTCCATCTCTCCCCCTTCCCAGCTGCTCCCACTGAGCTTTTCTAGCTCTCCTCCTTCCCAGCTGCTCTCACTGAGCTTTTCCATCTCTCCTCCTTCCCAGATCCTCTCACTGAGCTTTTCTAGCTCTCCTCCTTCCCAGCTGCTCTCACTGAGCTTTTCCATCTCTCCTCCTTCCCAGCTCCTCTCACTGAGCTTTTCCATCTCTCCTCCTTCCCAGATGCTCCCACTGAGCTTTTCTAGCTCTCCTTCTTCCCAGCTGCTTCCCCATTCAGCCAAGGAGCAGCAGAAGCACTTCCAGCCTTGGACAAATTCTCCCTCCTTACAGGAAAGGCAGCAGCTCTCTAGCCCAGCTCCATACCTCATCCTCCCTCCTACCACAGGGATTTTCTGGATCCTTTCCCCTTTATCCCTACTCTGGCTGCAGCTTCTCTGGCACAGTCCAAAGCTTTCAGCATTGCCTCTTTCAGTCACAAGTATTCAAAACCAGGTGTTTACCTTTTGAGGTCTGATGAAGGGAACCAGTCTTTAGGATCTGGAAAGCAGAATTTGGGAATGACCTTTAGCCTCTCTTCAGTATCCTTTGATGGTCTGAAGGGATGTTCAGGCTGGAGGGGTAACAGATGCATTTGAAGTCACTGAAGTTGGTGCACAGCTGCAGCATTTAAAATACAGAAAGCATCTTCCTAACACTTCCAAAGGCTGATCCATCCCATAGCTAATGCACAGGTACAGGAGAACATGTTCTGACCATTAGCAGATTCCCAGTTCCCTCTTGCATTTTTCCTGCTGATTGGACCTTTGTAAAATGGCCCAGCTGGATAAGGACGGAGTAAGGATCTACAAGCATGGCTAAGTTTATTGGAAAATGAATGTAGAGATGAGCCCCCAAATGATGGCTGGGCCAGCCTGCCTTGGTTCTGCCCCTGGGAGATTTGAAAACACTAATAGGAACAGGAATGTGTTCAGCTTTTGATCACTCATAACTGAAGTGCAAAAACTGTCCCTGAATCACGTGTTCCAGCCACATCACATGTGGGCTCAAATCAAATCCCTCAAGGACTCCAGGACACTTTCCATGATCAAAACTGTCCAGAAAGAGCAAAAGAAAGGTGTTCAGATAAGAGGCTTCATAAGAAATGTAAGGAAATTTTACACATTTAAGTAGGAAATGACCCTGAGAAGTGGAAAGTTTATTGCATGAAGTTGATTTTAGGCACTCAGCACATCCAGGCTATTCCAATGTCCCAAGTGTGACAGCACAAAGTGTTAGGAAAACAGAACAGCATTTTCACAGAGTAACAGTTGTACCAAAGCTTAGATGTCCTTGGGCACACAGCCCAAAGCAGAGGGTGACAGCAGATTACTGGGAAGCAAAGCTAATATTAGAAGGGAGACACCCAATCTGACCCACTGTCCCATCTAAGTCACTCACCAAAACACTTTCCCTTGAGCAGAAGATAAATAAATCTGAGAAAATAATTTTTTGTGTCAGTGCCTTTATAAAAGCCAGTAGAGAGCAGGAGGGGAACCCTGCAGTGCCCTTCCCAAAGGCAATGGAGAGACTGAGAGGCTGCACCAGGGAAAACCCAAATCTGCTGGACTCCTTTCTCCCTCCCAACACCCCAAAGTTTGCACTTTTAGCAGATATTATTTGGGTGTGTTCAGCTTACCCACTAAATTAACACTGTGCACTATTTCTGGCTGAAGTTCCTTATTTATCTTGTGAACCCAAGGCATGTACTCACTTAAGACACTGGAGTTATTTGCACACAAATCCTTTGGGACACTGTGGGACCTGCTGGGGCCCCACACAACCACCCTGAGTGGATCTGACATCTCCTCTGTGTGGATGACATGCAGATTCCTCAATTATCCCTGGCTTTCTGATGGCCCAGCCAGAATTGCTGGCTCTGTTCTGTTTTCAGTGGAAGGCAGCAGGTATGAGCCCAGACACTGACAACTGAATATTCATCTCAATCTGGTACCACAAAAACACCAAGGCTCCATCTCAGCTTCCCAACTTAGCTCACTGAGCTATAAATTCAGTCACACACTGGTTTTGCCACCCGTTTGGGCTGAACAGCTTATTTCAAAGAGCTTGGCTTAGCTTCAACTTCCACAGCTCTCCTGGTTTTGGGGGCTTCTACAAACAGCTTTGCCATTTTTTTTTTTTATTATTATTTTTCAAAACAGTACAAATAAGCATAAAAGCCCTGGGACTCCAGTTCCTGTGCATCATCAGTGCCTCACTCCTTGTTTGTAAAGGACAGACTGCCAGGATGAGGTTCCTGCCAGCTTTGGGACAGAGCTCTGCACTCCTTCCTCTCCTTCAGCTGGTATCAAATACCCCTTGGCTTCATGAAATTTGAATTAAGTAGGAAAAAAGTAGTTCAAAAAAGAAAATAAACTTATTATTAAGACACATATTCAACAACCTCCTGACACCACACATTGGGTGTGCAACAGAGCAAGGTGCCCCACATTCCAAACCCAGATCCTGACCAGTGCAGTTCTGAAGGGGAAACAGAGCTGAGCAGATTCCCACACAGCTCCTACCTTGCTGGGGAACTGCTGGATGATGTGTGGTGTGTAGGTGACCTCAGATGCCTTCTTGTGCAGGGACACCACCACGAAGAGCTCGAAGAGCCGCTGCTCCTGGAGCTCGATGAGATCCCTCTCCAAGGTCTGGTAGTGCGGGTTCCTCTTGGAGGCCGAGCGCCTCAGGCACCTGGGGCGACCTGGGGAGAGCAAAAAACCCCAAACCAGCCTGTGGCTGGCACTGCCACACACCTACAGGGCACAGAAGAGGACTCAGCATTGCCATCAGAGGGGGAGAAAGGAATGGGTGGATTTGCCCAACATTCAAATGCTCCCCGTGGGAAATGAACCCTGTGTCAGCTCCTTGTGCACAGAGCTGAGCTTCCCCCAGGGAACAAGTGACAGGAGGAGAGGAAATAACCTCAGATTCCACTGGAGGAAGTTTAGATTTGATATTAGGGACAATTTCTTCACTGGAATGGTTGCTGTCATTGGAGCAAGCTGCCCGGGGCAGTGGTGGAATCACCATCCCTGGAGGTGTTTAAAAAATGTGTGGATGTGGCCCTTGAGGATGTGGTTTAATGGTGAGCATGGTGGTTGTGCTGGGTTGATGACTGGCCTTGATGACCTTAGAGGTCTTTCCCAACCCTAACAATTCCAGGATTCTGTGATTCAGACAGGGAACACTGGCCTGCAAATCCAGAATCCTGCAAATCTGCAGCTCTGCAAATTCCCCCTGACAGACACTGAAATTTCTCCTGCTGCCCTGATGTTCTTACACATCTCAGAGTGTACAACAAGGTACCAGGGAGTGAAGGCCAGCTGCACCAGGTCAGGAGCTGCCAGGACTCAGGGAGCCACTCCAAACACCAGGGGCACTCAGGAGAGGCAGAGGCAGCTCCCTGGCCAAGGCACCCCCAGGCTGGGCTGTCCTGACAGGCAGCACAGGCTCACAAGAACAGGCACAGCCCTCTGACATCAGGAATTCCTGTGGCCCAGGCACTGTGACACATTCTAGACACTCTCAAACAACTCTTCCATCAGGCAGTGACTCAATCTTTCTGAAGAAATCTCAGTATTTCTGCTGAGATTCTTCACTCTCCACTACTCTCCTTAACATAGGGGAGTTAAAGCCTTTTGAATATTTCCCTCTAAGTAAATGAAACACCCAAAATAAAATCATAGAATAGAATCATAGAATTCATAGATTCCTTGAATGGTTTGGGTTGAAGAGACCTCATCCAGTGCCACCCCCTGCCATGGGCAGGGATACCTTCCACCATCCCAGACTGCTCCAAGCCCTGTCCAGCCTGGTCTTGGACACTTCCAGGGATCCAGGGGCAGCCACATCTGCTCTGGGCACCCTTTGCCAGATCCTTCTCTTTAATCTATCTTCACATGGAAGCTAAAAGCACCTAAAACCAAGCAGGTGTTTCAGGTCTGGAGTTTGGGTCTATGATCCAGCTCAGGACATTGGAGCCAGACAAATACCCAGGTGAACTCTCCCCAGAAGAAAGGACATTTCACAGCATTACATAAAACAGAACCAAGGGAAGGAATCAGGAGGGAGATAACCTCAAGCAGCAGCAGCAAAGGTGACCAGGAACAACCTCCTTCCAACCCAAAAATGACTCTGCTTCTGCTGGCTGGCAGATTAATGGCATTAAACCTCAAGGGCTCAGGGGAAGGAGCAGAAACAGAGGTTGGTTTGTCACAGCAGCAGCTCCCAGACGTGGCCATGTGGCCTCTGAGAGGCTCCCTGGCCCTGTCTCAGCAGATCCCCACACGTCAGCTCATCCCACCAGGGCCTCAGCCAAGGGTGCAGTGCTGTGGGACAGGACCAGCCCTGTGATTCACTCACTTTTGGGCTGATTTTCCGTATCGCTTTCATTCCCGCTGGTTTCACCTGAAACACACATAGTTTTCACTTATTAGCCATGCAGAAGGAAGATGGGCAACACCCAAAATTGGGAAAGAGACAACCAGAGACTCATCAGATCAACATCCCTCAGGGCTACCCACCAATCCTGCCCAAAGCATCAGCCAAGGGCAGCTGGAAAATGTGTTACAGCAGCAAATTGCAAAGAGCAGAGCTGGTATCAAGGCAGTGGTGCCAGTGAATGACCTGCAGGTCAGCTGAACACAGGCAGAGAACACAAACCAGCTGGTTGGTTGAGGCTGCTATAAAACTTAACAGAGCTGCTGAACAGAGTAATTATAAATAAAGACCCTACCCAAGCAGAACAAGGCACACAGACAATGAGTGCAGTAGTCACTGGTAGCTCTCATGCCAAGTGATTTTCTGAGGAATTTTTGCTTTAATCTGCTTTTTTGGAAAAGCACTTTTAACCAGCAGCCCAGCTCTGCAGGCTCAGAATCCCCCCCTTGTGACAGTGTTGAATTTGTGTTAGGCAGGTGTTCCTTGAGCTGAAAGCTCAATTCCAGCCACAAGTGTGGGGTTTGCACTGCTGAGTCAGCATGAGGTGGTGGTGCCAGGCCAGGGACAGGGGAATTGTGCCACTCAAGGTGTGTAGAGCACAGACAGTGGTGCTGGAGACCTCAGTACCTTTCACTGGAGCTGCTTCTCTCCCAGCAGGACTGAGCAGCTTCACCTTCTTCTTTCCACGCTTGGAATCAAAGATCTCCTGTATTTTCAGCACCAGCTGAAATCCAAAGCAGAAGCAGAGGTTAATGTGGGGGTCCAGAGAAGGCTCCAAGTGCCAATAGGAGGGCAGCCCAACAGCCACCACCCAGGACTTGGGGAAAGCTGCCCAAATCCTGCAGGAACCCTGGCTCAGAGGTTCCTTCTAGCCCAGCTCACTGGATAAAGAATGAGCACAGATTTCTGCTGCAAGAGAGAGATTCCTGTCAGCACAGCTCAAAGCTGACAGCAGACTGTACAAGCACTCTGGAAACTGTCACACTTGCCTTCCCAAATAGAAGTGACAAACTGTCTGGCATCAGATTTCCATTTTCTATGCAAAGACACTTGCAAGAACATCTCAAACCCTGCAGCACAGAGGACTCAGAACATGCTCCCAGCACCCCAACTCTTTCCAAGCCCAGAAAAAGAGAGCTCTCTCACTGTAACTTGGGGTTGGTTTTTGGGTTTGCTGCTGTAGTTGATGTCAGCTCAAGTCTCCTAAAGCACAAGGGAGGCTGCTCCAAGCACAGGCCCTGCCCCAGGTGTTGCTGGAATGAGAGGATGATGTACTCAGGGTACCCTGCTCTAGTGGAAGGTGTCCATGGCCATGGCAAGGGGTGGAATGAGGAGGAAATTAAGGGCCTTTCCACCCAAACCATTCTGTGATTTTGCACAAATGAAGACAGACAGTGGGACAGAACAATGGCTCTGTGCTGCAGGACCACACACCTGGTAAAAGCTGGGTAAAAAGCTGGGTAAAAGCACAGTCCAGTGCAGACTAAGCACAGACATGAAAGAAGGGTCAGCACTTTGACACTCTGCATTGGTGCTGGTAATCTTCCACTGGTCACGACGGCCTTACAGCCAAAATCCTGACACTTTCTGTGTCCCTGTCACAGCCTGCTCTGTGCTTTCACCTCACCTGCCAGTGCCCCAGGGGCTCCTGACTCCCCACATCAAAGGCAGCTTCATGGCAAGAGGGATTTACCCTAAATGCAGGGAGCAGGTCAAGTTCATTCCTGCCTCAAGAATTCATTCAACTGAACACAGGAGGGTGGGGCCCAGCCATTTGTCATCACAAATACAGCATAAAAAGAAATATATTAAAGAGAACCTGTTTGTTCAGTTCAAGTGTTTAATCCCCAGATCAGCAGTCCAGGCTTAGGCTCTCCTTTTCCAATGGTTTTTTCCCCATTTTTTGCCTCAGCCAACCCTCCCAGCACGAGGAGGCTGCAGGGAACAAACAGCCCACTGCAGAGAGCAGTGCTCCTCCTGCCAAACCTGCCTTCTTTCCCTTTTTACCCAGCCTTACCTAGGAGATCTTAATTTCTGTCCTGATTTTTGTGCAGCTGAGTCACCACCCTGGGTGTGTTTAAGGCAGCCATGTGTTTCTTAGGCAAAAGGTTTTGTCTTTTTAGACCCCAGTCCTTTTCTCAACCTCTCGAGCAATCTTGGCTCAATTCCTCATGAGCAAAGAGAGTAAAGTGCTCTTCCTGCATGTAAATTGTTACCAGATTTTTGGAATAGGTTTGCTTTTGGAGAACATTTTATTTTCCCTCTCCAAATGAGAGATACTCTCCATCACAGCATTTTTATAATCTTGCCATCTCCTTCCTGATTTTCCAGACCTAGAATTCGTTTAAAAACACAGACAGAAGTTACTTGATACTCCAAAGCACTTTAAAGGTTTGAAAAGTCCTTTGCAGCTGTCCAACTCTACCTCACAGTCTTGTGCAATCTGAGCAAATACACGTGACTTTGAGATGAAATAAAGATCTGCTGAAGTGAAATGATTTTACCACAGAAAAATAAGTCTTTCTCACTACCACAACTTGAATTTGAGTCCCATGCACCAAGTGCCACCACAGTGGCAGCTGCAGCTGCCCTTCTACAGCACGTGGTGCCTTTTGTCACAGAGGGATGCGAGCTGGTCACAAACATGAGGATCTAGAAATCTTCCCAAGGCACCAAACTGAACAGTCCTCTGTGTGAAGGTGGATTAAAAGCCTTCCTCACCCCTCTGGCCTCAGCAGCATAATTGTCTCTGCAGCCAGGCAGGAGGGAGAGGCCAGAAGGGACAGCTGGATGAAGGCTTTGTGAAATGCTCTTATCCCTGAGAGTTCCTCTGCACCCTTAAACTATGAAACAGCTGCTCCTGGTGCCAGTCCAGAACTCCAGGCCAACATTCCAAGTAACCAAGGGCCCCACAACTATCCCACAGCTCAGGGCCTGCAGTGGAACACCAGGATCAGCCTGGGAAGTCACTGGGAGCAGGGACATGTCCACAAAGCATTACAGAGCTGCCCTTGGAGCTCTCCAAGAGCGCAAACCCAGCACCAACACTCCATGGAAACACTGGGAACAAGGCTTAGGTGACAAAGCACGAGGAAGACCTTGTGTTCACACACAGCCCTGACCTCCAGGCCAACACTGAGCACTTTGTCTGCCCACAAAAACACCACTGTGATTCCTGACCAACAAAACCACTACTGTCCCAGCTAGAACTGGCACTCAGACCCCCAAACACCAGCCCTGCCACTTGGACAGGGAATGGCTGGAGCAGCAGTGCCAAGCAGCAATCACCTGCCTGGCCCACAGCTCTGTGGCCCCTCACAAAGCACTTGCAAAGCAGCAAGACCTTGAAATGCCAGGCAAGAAGTGAAGTTTTACACTTGAATCTCACCCAGGGCAGGTTCTTTCTCCTGCTGGCAGCCTCCACTGCTCGGAACAGCTTCCACTCAGACAGAGTGACAGGCAGGGAGGTCTCCTTCCCCACCTTCCCTTGGAGATTTGTCTGGGAGGGCTTCAGCTCCAGTGACTTACGGCTGAGGAAGGGAGGTTTTGGGGGAGGCTGGAAAACAGAAGCAGAAGAGATAGTCAAGCATGAGATCCAGCTTTGGTCCAAGGTCACAGGCACAGGAGTCGGATTACAGCTGGTAAATCTGCTCTACCAAGCTCTCCATGCCACCTCCCCACTCAAACATCTCACCAAATCTCTCTTGTTCCTACTCTTTTGCTCCTTAGCAACTTAATCAGCTGCCATGGCTGCTCATTATTTACATTATATATTATTTACATTAAAAACAAGCAATAAAACAATAAGGCAAATGAATGACTTGCAGTGTGGAATGTGAGGCTGAGCATATTCCCATCATTGTGGGAATGATACTGCAAATACCTGCCCCTTTAATCCCCCCACCCTACCTTGGGAGCCCTGCTGATGCTCCGGGGAGGGGGCAGCTTCCAGACAGATGGGACCTTCCACAGGGGCAAGGGCAGTGCTCTGATATCTTCATAAGGATGTTCTTTTGTAGCACCTGGAAAAAGCATTGGATGGGGGATTTATGAAAGGAGATAAAGCCCTGTAATTTTTGCCAGGGATATAAGTGGGGAGAGTGTGCCAACAACAGGGTCTGAGAGACCAGTTTAAAGCTGGATGAGGTTCCCACCACATCCTTCTAACCCACTGCCATCAACTTGGCAAACTGCACATGGTCTCAGCAGGACAAAACCCTTCTTCCCCTGCAGAGCAAGCAGCTCTATTGCAAAGCAGCTCATTTTGGCAGCGTTCACACTGATCTCTGTGCAACACTCAAGCAAAGCATTCCAAGGGCTAATAAAGAAATCAATATAGCACAGGCCAATTCCAGTGACCTCCCATGACATCCAAAATCAGGCTGTTCACGTGCAGATGTCACCAACACCAACAAAGAACCCCAGATGGGGAAGACCTTGACAGCCCGAGAGCCGGAAAGGCCTCAATGCATCCTCACCTTCACTCCTCCCTCCCCAGCACCACTGCCACCCTTAACCACGGTGAGAACACCCCCAGAAGCCCAGGCACATACAGATAATGTCCTCGTAGATGTTGTCTTCAGACTGAGTGCAGAGCAGCCTGGATCCTGCAGTGCCATTGGTCTCCTCCCGGGGTCTGTGGGAGCCGCTGCCCGCCTGCCGCTTGCGGAAGCCCTGGATGTCCTCAAACTCAAAAGATTTCCTAGAGGAAAACCAGTGTGACTTCTTCTAAAGGCACCTGCTGGAGTTGCTGTCTGCAGTCCAAACACAGTTGACCCTCCTTGGGACCATCCAGCACACGGATGCTCCACTCTGGGCTCGCATTTCCAGGGTTGAGCAGCTCAGTCCCTCACTCCCAGCCCATGGTGGGGAGGGAATCAGAGGGAACGAGAGAGAAAACACATGCATGGGTCGAGATAAAGACAGTTTGGAAGGTAAAGCAAAAGCTGCACAAGCAAGGAAAGCAAAACAAGGGATGGGATTCATTTCCTATTTCCCTCGGTGTTGAGCCATGTCCAGGGGCTCCATCATTTTTAACAATTACTTGGGAAAACAAGCTCCAAATTTCCCCCCTTTCTGCTTCTTCCCCAACTATTACTGCTGAGCAGAACATCACAGGGTCTGGAAAATCCTTGGGGTCAGCTGTCCCTGCTGTGTCCCCTCCCAGCTCTGTGTGAGCACAGCTCCCACACTGCTGTGTAACCAATATTTTCATTACAACCCCAAAACACAGCAGCACACAAGATGCCAAGAAGAAAATTATCCCAGTCAAAGCCAGCACACCAAGTGTGCTTACTTGCTCTGGGAGATTTATTAGGTAAGAAAGGGAGCTGGAGGCTCCGTGGCCAAGCACACTCCAAGCAGGCATGGCCAGCCCCATCCTGTCAGAGGCAAGAACCCAAACCATGCTTTGCAGACTTGCAGCAGCTCAGAACCAGGGCTCTGCTTCCTGCTGGCCTCTCCTACTCGTGCTCAAGGTGTTCATGCATTTGTGGGTTGGCATTTCCATCCACATGGCCACTGTTTTGAAATTAGGGCACTGAGGTGACAGAAGAGCTGGCAAGGATTTAGCCCATCATGATCATAAAATCTGGGTTGTTGCGGCACACTTTGCCACAGTGGAAGGTTTCAGAACCTCAAGCCACATCTCTGCTGGTACTGTGCACACCAGTCCAGCACAGGCAGCTCACCTGTGAGCAGGATTTGCATCAAGCCACCTCAGAAGGGTGTGGGAAAAAGGGAAAACCAGCCAAACCTACTGCAAGAGCAGTACCCACAGCCTCCAGCCTTAAGCAACAAGAGAACCTTTCACTCCCAGAAAAGCCACTCAGCAGCCATAGAGCCCCCTGAGAAAGCCACTCTGCCATCCCCAAATTGCCGCTGAAGGCAAGCAGCAGACAGGTCTCTCCCTGGGGCCAGCATATTGTTACTTCACTCTGTCCCAAGGTGTGGGCTGACTTCTGCTTGGAACCTGGAGCCATCTTTGCAAGATTGTCAGCAGCAAAAGCTGGATACTTTCACCCAGGAACACGCTTTCCCCATTGAAAAGAGGCATCATCACTAGCAGCACTCCACAAGGACATCATGCCAAGCAAGCTGCCTAAACCCATCTAGAAAGTGATTTAAAGAAATGTTTCAGACATGAGAGATGGATTATGTACCTCTGGGCTCTCCCTCTGATCCTCCTGCTGGCTATTTTCTTCTCAGGGTTGTTGGAGGATGACACCAAGTCCCTTCCACACTGCTTTTGCAGGGGAGCTTCCCTGGTGGCACTGGCATCTCTTCGACCACCAGCACCCTTCTCTGCCAGGTAGCGGAAAGTCCTGCGGGGTTTGGGTGGTGGATCAGGAGCTGCCTCCTCCTCTTGCCCCTCAACCTCAGAGTAAATGTTTCTCAAGCTCCTCTCTGCCCTGCAGAGAGTGTCCACTCCTTTGATATGCAGTTCTCTTTCTGTGGAGCCAGAGCTGCCTCGCTTCCTCTGGAGGTCCAAGGCAACAGGAGAGGTTCTGCCTGGCAGGGGGGGATCTGCTCTCCTCCACAGAGCTTGTGAGGTATAGAAGTTCCCTGGGGGCAGTGTCACCCCCGGGGTCAGGAAGCCTGTTTGCCCCTCTCCTTTCTCCTTGGCTGGGGAAGCTGGGCCACCACAGCCCCCGGTCTGCCAGCAGCTCCGTGCATCTTCCCTGAAATCCAACCCCAGGCTCTTTGGATCTTTGGACCCAGCCCTTCTGCCATTCTCTGTGCATTCTGCCTTCACTTTGGGTAGTGCATTGCAGCTGGGATCATATTTTACTCCAAAGTCCTTAGGCTGCTGCCTGTCCTTGCTGGAGCAGCCCCGTGTCCTGCCCTCCCACTGCGAGATCTTCTGCTTGATGTTGCGGCAGTGGCTGCGGGACAGGGTCTGGCTCTGCACGGCCCCGCGGGAGAAGCTGCTGTCCCCAGCCCCCGTGGGGTGCATGGCAGGGCCAGAGGGCTCACACACAGCCCATGCCCAGCCCTGGCCACGTCCTCCCGTGTCCTGCACACATCAAAGCTGGCACCACGCTCCCAAGTGCCCGGCGGTGTCACAGAGTCCGGGCTGGCTGCTCCGACCTGCGGGCAAAAACAAGAGCCATCAGCTGCATCCTGTGGTGATCACACATCCTCTGAACAGAGAGAGACAGAGCTCTCCCAGGATTTTCCTGGGAAGCTGTGAGAAGCTGTGAGAAAGCTCAGAGAAAGAATTAAAACAATTATTATCTCAATCTCTGCACCTGGCAGGCAATCTCTGTTTGTCAAAGATGTTTACAAGAAGGAGTTGTCCCTTCTTGACCAATAGGTGAGAGAAGATTCCTAAAGGCCAGTCAGGTCTTAGGTCCACCACTGTTTCTATAAGAACTGTGGATTTCTAATAATAAAGTGCCTTTTCATGCCTTCTGATGATGGAGTTTCTGTGTCACCTTTGTCCCCAGTACCCCTTTGGTGACAGCACCCCAGCCATGCTCCTCACCCCAAAGTCCCAGCTGCTCCCTGGCAATTGCTGCAGAACATTCCTCCCCAAAACACATCCACCACGTGCTCAGGACAGGCTTCCAGAGCTCGCTGCCCACAGGGGCTGTTTGTGCACACACTGAAAGGGAGCTGAGGCTTCACAGGCTTAAAAACCAAACACAGCAAGCACAAAACACCCTGAGGGATCCCAGGCATGCAAACTCAAGGAAATTATTTAATGGCAGAAGAACACAGCAGCGTGGATCTCAGCCAGCCCTTCTGCAGGAGTGCAGCTCCTCCTGATGCTCAGGCAGTAGAGACAAATCCCTGTGGCACCTGAGCTCCCCACTCAGCAGAGACACAGCAGGACACGAGGCACCAGGACAGCTCTAGAAAAAAGGAACCATATCTGCTTCTCCAGAGAGGAGCTGCTGCTTCACACAGGACAAGAAGAGCTGTGGTGGCTGGGGAAGAGTGCAGCCTCCTCCCAGAATTGCTCCCTTACTCCACAATACAAGTGAAAACCTGCCTGGTGCTCTGTTTGTCAACATCTGACCTAAATTTGCCATCCAAGAGACTGGAGGGCAGTGGTGCCCTGCCTGTGGCTTGCAGCCAGGGGAGTTTCAAAAAGCAGAAGAAACAAGTGAGTTCTCATCTTCAAGTGAAAAATCACCCAGTGTTTAGGTCAGCAAAGAAGGAATGCTAAAGAAACACTCTGGATTCTCCTAGCCAAGCAGAGCCTGCACAAAGAGGAGCTGTGCTCTTTGAGACTTCCCACACATGTCATCCAGGGGATACAGAACACATCCTCCAGACAATCCAGCAAGGAATGCAGGTGAAACCACCAGGGAGAACTGGGGTGGCTGTACAGAGCCAGCACCTGCAGGTCCAGCATGGCCTCAGTACAGAAATCTCATGTGTGGAATCCTCAGCCTTGGAGCCCTTTGGCTCTATCTGTAGCTCACAAAGCATCCCAAACATTCCCAGATATGCCAGCACAGGTGAAAACTCATCTTGGATAGAAGACAGCAGCCCATAGGCTCTAACAAGCCCCGTTCCTCCCTTTCTCTGGGCAATTATCCCATTTCAGAAGTTCCAACCCTCCAGCTGTATTTAACAGCCTCCATTTGCAGTAGGAGACAAGTGCTCAGCTCAGGCCAGGGGCCACACTGCCTCTGGTAACATTCCCCTGGCACCAAGAACTCTCCCTACAAAGGCAGGGAAACAGCAGAATTCCACCCATGCACAAAAGCAGAGGATCCCTGTAGAAAGCAGCCAGACCTGCTCCAGGTGGGACCAGGGGCCAGAGTCTCACCAAGCCTGTGCTCAGGCTCCAGCTGCCACTGCCACCCTGGGCATGTGTCCTTCACAGCCACAGCCACCACACCCGGCCAGCACTGAGTCACCACTGCCTGGCAGAGTGGGCAGAGCCAGGGATGGGCAGCAAACCATGCTGGGAGACACAGGAGCTTAAACCTGCCTGGCAAGGGGTCACGTCCCACTCTCCAGGCTGGGTGTGGAGAGCCCCCACCACAGCAGACCCGCACCCTGCCCACTGCTGGGACCACACCTCAAATTCCAGGGCTCAGGGTTATCCCTGGAGCTGCTGATCTGCTTGGCAGAGGCATCTGCAGTGCAATTAAAAGCAAGGCACTGGCCTTGGCAGATGTCCTTGACAGCAACCAGTGAGAAAGCTCACTGGTCAAGGACATCCCAGGGCTCCCAGGCAGTTCAGGGATGGTTTGGGCACACATGGCACCAAGCCTTGCCTCTGCTACACTCTCCCCTTCTGCCAAAGCAGCACAGTTGCAGTGGGAAGCAGCTCCCTGTCTCCACAGTGTGAGTTCCTGCAGGGTGGAATTGCTCAGCCTGTTGTCCCAGACAGCTGCTGGTAACTCTCCCACTCAGCAGTGACTGGGATAAACTTGGACAATCTGGCTAAGCCCCGAGCTGGGGATATTTGCTCCATCATCAGCCCTCTGTCCCTCATCAGCATTCCAGCCTGCCCTCAGTGCTTCCGTAGCCACTGGAGACCCTCTTCCCACAGCAGCAAGGGGACCCTGCCCTCTCCTATAAATAGGCATTGTTGCCAAAACATCCTGAGCCAGAGCAGAGCCATCCTTCCTCGATGTGTCTGCAGAGCCCTGATTAGCAGACAGGAAAGCAGCTTTCCCTCTGCTGTGCCACTCAACTGCTGCAGCTCCAGGACACTCTCAGGACCCAGCTGACAAAGGACAGGCTCTGCTGGGGACAGATGGGGGGGGACAGGGCTCAAACAGCCTCCCCAGCAGCCCAGCTTCACACCAGGATCCTCCAGGGCCTGCCAAGTCTCAAACCCAGCATTGCTGGAAGCAGGAGTGGCACAGGGAGCAGAACCCGAAGGACTCTGCAGGGTGGAGCAGGGGTTTATCCACAGGACTGGGTTTATCCACAGTCCAGGACCTGCACTCACAGCCTGTGCCCACAGCTGCTCTGATTCCAACAGCACTGGCTGCCTTCTCCTAAATGCTCCAGCTGGGAGCTCCTCTGGGAACACTTGGAAGGGAACCACAAGGATCATCCTGTCCAACTCCTGGCCCTGCACAGGGCACTCCTGGAGCTCTGGCAGCCTCGGGGCTGTGCCCATTCCCTGGGGAGCCTGGGCAGTGCCCAGCACCCTCTGGGGGAAGAACCTTTCCCTGGCATCCTCCACCATCCATGAGGACAAATGACTGCTCAGAGGAGGCTGAGTAGCCCTGCACAGCTCTCCAGGTGGGTCCACCCTTGCTGTGCCTAAGCTTGGGCAGCTCTGCTGGCTGCCAGCCCGCCCCACATCCTTCCTGCCACGGCTCACGTTGGGAAGGCTGCAGCAAAAACTGCCTATGCTGCAGCTTCCTCAGCCAGACACACAGCCAGACAGACAGATCCATTTCTGCTTCCTCATCTCAGGCCATGGCTGAAGTCAAGGCCTAATGCTCCTGCCCTCTCCCACTGCCCAGGTCCCTGCTCCCATGGTAAGGCACAACCAGGAGCTGAGAAACATGGAGGAGAAGCTCAGCCTTGGCCAGGACACGGAATTCCAGAATCCCAGAATGTGTTGGACTGGAAGGAACCTTAAAGCTCATCTCTTTCCACACTGTCCAGTGTCCCATATTGTTCCAAACCCCATCCAAACTGGCCTTGGACACACAGGAATGGGATCCACAGACAGTCGAGCACAAGCCTAAAGTTCTCCCTGCTCAGTGCTGCTCCCTGGACTGTCTCTTCCAAAATATCCATCCAAGGAAGAGAGGAATGCAGCTTTTCACCTGCCCAGGCTTGCTATCAAGAACCAGGCATTTGATCTCAGCTCATCACGTGAGCCCAGGCAAGGGCAGAGACTGATCTTTGGTGAAGAAAGAGCACACTGGGGTGGTGTGATCCAAGTTAAGTAACTCTTAAATGTAGTCCAGGACAGGCTAAAACACAGTTCAGGGACACAGAGCTGGCAGAGACCCCTGGGTCAGGCAGCCAGCACTTGTATCAAGCACTGTACAAATCATTCCTGCCACAGAATAACCAGACTTGTGACTGCTTCCATCCTGACCTCCCCTGCCAAACTCCTTCAGTGGCCCCAGTGTGCTTCCCAGTATTTCCAGAGAAGCCAAATTCATCATCCTTACTGCATCACGACTCAGAGATCAGTGTAGTTAAGAATACTGAATTATTTCACCGGAAGCAGCAGTTTGGGGGAAAATTACATAATTTCTAGACAAAACATCACCCATTTCTGCCAAAAGACTGCCTCTCTGATCCATGCTGTTTGGAAGCTCCCAAAGCAGAAGAATAAGGCACGTTCCCAGCACATGACAGGTAGCCCTGACTCTTTTTCCAGCCCTGAAATCCAGAGAGCACACTACACATTTTCCATGCAAAGCCTCGAGACAATTCCATTTCCTGAAACCACATTCCCAAGGAGAGAAAGCTGCCAGTTCTGCTGTTCCAGAATAAATCCCTGCCTAGTGCTGAGGTAAGCCTCCCCCAGCTGTGCTGCTGGAACCCCCAGCACCCCGAGCACCCTGCAGCAGAGGCACAGAGAGAGCAGAGGCACTGACACAGCACCTTACCTTGTCCTGCTCCTGGGAACACAAACACCGCCTGGACCAGCCCGTGCAGCTCTGAGGCAATCTCAGTCCTTTTGTGAAAGCTGTGCAGTCCTAAACCACCCCAGAGCCCTTGTCACCAAGCCTCCTGTGCTAGCAGCCAAATAAAAAGCTTGTGGAGCCTAGGGAAGCTAGCAGCTCGTTCCTGGAGGGAAAGGACCCCTTCCAGAGCTCTCAGCTACTCCCATCCTGTTCCTCTGCAGAACAACCCTGACACTCCTCTGAACAACTCTGCCATGCTGATGCCTCAAAGACATGGGCAGTACCAAACAAACAGATTTTATATCAAAATAAGTAACTCTCCAGGAATGCAGAGTGCTTAGTCATTTCCATCTCGATACAAAGCTACTCTAACCACGAGGTATTAACTCCTTCCATGCTGCTGCATCTCCTGCTGAGGAGCAGTTCTCCCTCATTACATCCATGGCCACAGCCCCTGGACACAGAAAATGTGATGTTAATCCCAATTACACAGCAAAAAGAGGTTAAGTCTGACCCTCATGGGTCCTAAGACTTTTCTATGGACTGTCCTTTTCTAAAGTGATGAAATTCAACTTCTTGAAAGCAAGTTTTTCCTCAAGATATATAAAAAACCCCAAACCAGAGCACTTCCAACATGTAAGCCCTGAAGGCTGCTACACCAGGGTGCCCATGGACAGAACCCACAATGTACTATTTTTAAAAGTCGTGGGCTTTTAACCTGACTCACAGGATCTGAATGCCCAGGGTAGCAATACTGACAACAGCAGTTGACTCAGCCCCTGCACCCCGGGCTGGCTGCCAGCCCCTGGAATGCTGCAGCTGCACACCAGAAACGAGGCACAAGCTGGGCATGGAGTTAAAAATCAATCACAACTTATCCTGGAGCACTTCCTTGGTGCCACCATCAGAGGTGAGCTTCCAAAGGAAAGTCACAAAGCCTGTGTGGCTTTACATGGGCCACCCCAGACAGGCTGTGTGGGGCCACAACCAACCACTCATTCCTTTGGGAATGTCTCAGCAGCACTGAGGCAGCTGCCCCAAGAGGTTCAAAGGGTGCAGACTAAGGCAGCACCAGAAAACCTCTCAGACACCATTCAGATGATGTGTTCCAGAGCTGCCTACTGAGTCATAGCCATATTAGATTATTACAACTGGAAGACTGAGATAAAAATTTTGCCAAGCAGCAATGGACAACACTAGGACTCCACATCCAGGTCAGTCCTCCAGCCACCAGTGCTCAAATACACATTTCCAGGATCTGGTTTTCCTGTAACTTCTCTTCTACTTTCCTTCCATCACTCGCTGATGCCAGTCCCAAGGAGGAACTGCTCCACCAGTTCTTGGGCTCTGTCACAGCCGGGCCATGTCACTGGAACAGAGGGCTGTGTGTATGGGGAAGGCAAGGGGACACTGCTCCAGCGTGCCCAGGGAGCTCTGTACCCACCCAGCCCCACGCACCTCAGTGCACCAAAGCACAAATATCCAGCGAGACCTAACCCAGCACAGCCCAGCAGCGTGCAAAGCTCTGTACGGAACCACAGTGGGAGACACAGGAGCACCTCGAGCACGGCGGCTTTGGGCCAACCCCGCGGGGAGACACTCCGCAGCAGCAGCAGCCCCGGGCAGCCCGCGCTCCATCGCCCTCACGGCAGAAGCGCTGCCCGACGGCCAGCGGGGCCCTCCCGAGCGTCCGCCTGTGCCCAGCACCGCACAGCCCCGGCTGGGTCCGCCCGCCACCCTCCCCGCAGGCATCCGCACCAGCTGGGGAGACGAACCCACCCCGACCCCGGCTCCCCTGGCGAGCTGCGTCTCCTCCGGGCAGCTGGAGCAGCACCTGCTTCCTCCGGCCCGTCAGACACGGACAAGATGCTGCACCGGCCGCTGCCCGCCTGTCCGCAGCCGGGACATGGGGACCCCTCGGGGCTCGCCGCCCCAACCCGGCCGCGACTGCGGGAAGCCCCAAACCCCCGGGCCACCCGCTCGCCCTCCCGGCGTAGCCCCCGCCCGGTCCCACCGTCCCCCGCCCCGTCTCACCGCGGCCTCGGCCCGCTCCCGGCCCCGCTCCCGCAGGACGCTCCCGGCGCGCACGGAACCACCTCCCATTGGCTGCTGTAGCCATCACTCAAGCGGTGATCCCGCCTTCTCCCCGCCCCCAAGCGCCTGGAGCCATTTTCCGTTGGTTGACGCGGCCGTCACTCAGAAGGAGACCCCGCCCCCGCCGCGCCCCGTCCCGTCTCTCCGCGGCCTTGGCCCGCTCCCGCAGGAGCTCCCGGCGCTCACGGAGCCGCCGTTCATTGGCTGCTCTGGCTGTCACTCAGGTCGAGATCCCACCCTCGCTCCGCCTCAGGCGCATAGAGCCACTGCCCATTGGCTGGCGTGGCTGTCACTCAAGCGATAGTGCCGCCCCCTTTCCCTCAGGCGCTGAGGCGCTGGGATCCGCTTCGCAGACGGGGTTTTACTGCGCTGTCCCGGGGCCTCGCAGTCCGGCACGGCCCTGGCCCGACCCCGGCCCCCCTCACAGTCCAGCACTGCCCCGGCCCCGCGGTCCGGCCCCCGCCTATTCGTTCTTCAGCCCCTCGGCGATGAGGTTGAGCTCGTAGCACCAGGTCTCGTAGCGATAGGCAACGCGGATCTGGGCCACGTTCGTCTTCCGAATGTCATTGCCATCGGGCCCGTCTTCCTGGTAGTTTTCACCCAGGAACTTCACTTTCTCCTGCCAGAGGCGAAGACAGCGGTACCGACCTCGGAAGCCCCGCTGGCAGCACCCGGGGGAAGCCCTGAGCCCACGCGTGGAGCTGGTGCCATTCTCAGGCCGTGGGCAGGACCACCCCAGAAGGACACACACCTCGTGGGACAGGAGACACTGCAGGACACCCCCTGCGTGGGACAGGACACCTTCTTCATGGGACAGGACACCCACAATGGGACAGAACATACTGCAGGACACCACTGCATGGAACAGGACACACCTCGTGGGATACGAGCCCCTGCAGAACACGCAGCTTGTGGGACAGGACATGCTGCAGGACACACCCCTCAAGGGGCAGGACACCCCTCATGGGACAGGACACACTGCAGGACACACCCCTCATGGGACAGGACACACTGCAGGACACACCCCTCAGGGGACGGGACACGCTGCAGGACACACCCCTCAGGGGACAGGACACCCCTCAGGGGACAGAACACCCACCTCGTGGGACATGCCGCACTGCAGGATGCTGTTCCTGGCGATCTCACACATGTCACAGGTGCTGAGCTTGAACACCTGGGCAGCGATGGCGTACTCCTCCATGAGGGGCTCCTGCAGCACAGGGTTAGGGGTCAGCAGCCTCTGCCAGCACAGCCCGTGCTCTGCAGGGGCTGTCCCACAGCTCACAGAACGACTGAATCATTGGGGCTGGAAAAGTTCTCCAGGATCAAGTCCAACCTTCAACCAACACTCCCATGCCCACTAGACCATATCACAAAGAGCCACGTGTTCTCATTTTTTGAAAACTTCCAGGCACCACTGCCCTGGGCAGCCTGTTCAGACACTTGACCCCTGTTTCAGTGAAGAAATTTTTCCTAATATCCTTCCTGGACATCTGCTGGTGGAGGGTGAGATGACCCAGCATATACTGGACCCTCTGCAAGTGCCGCTGGCTTCCAAAAAAACCCAAAAAACCAAACCACACAGTGCCAGCCCCAGAGTCCCAGCCCCAGCGCTCAGCTCACACTGTACCTTGGTGTAGTGAAACTGCATGGGGTCGTCTGTGGAAAGGGACACCATGAGCCCTTTCTGGTGGAAGTCAAGCAAGGGATTCTTGGCGTACTCCAGGAAGAGGCTGTTGTTGCTGAGTGGGGACATGGCAATGGGGATTCGGGCAAGGAAGTACAGGTACTGCAGCACCGGGCTCTGCAGAGACGAGCAGAGGTACCACGTTAGGGGTGAAGCTGCTGCACCTTCCACCTCTCCAGGGTCACTCCTCAGATCAGGCCGGTCCCAGCCAGGGAATTGTGTACAAGGAGAGAGATGGGCCAGCCAGCAATCATTGCTTCAGGATAAGGAGCACAAGAGGCCAAGGAGCTGTCTGACATCAAACTCAGCTGGCTCCAGTGATAACAAACATATTCTGTGATGGGTCTGTGAGGCTAAACCCCCAAATCTAATACACTGCTCAGCCACATCCCCAAACATGCCTGGAGAAGCCCAGAGAACCATTTAACATCTGCCTGGAGCCAGGCTGTGTCAGTGTAAAGCAAAGGCACAGGTAACTGCCAGCTACCTGAGGCAGCTGTGAGAGTTCTCCTGCTCTGCTGTGCCTGGGCTACTCCTGGCAGCCTGCTCCACGTACCTTCTTGAGGTTGAGCCCGTGGGAGATGTTATCAGCTGTCATGAAGGCTGCCAGCAGGTGTGTGAGGGCCCCGGCCTCGCCGCAGTGCGGGCGGAACAGGAACGTGTTCATGCCACGCTGCCTGGGCACAGGGAAGGAGCACTCAGAGCAGGCAAACAGCAGGCTGGGTGGCTGGACCCAACTTCAGGCCCAGCTCTGCCCCTACCAGGAATCCAGCTTGACCTAGGAGCACATTACTCCTTCTCCTTTCTCCTTTGTGTGTGCAATAGATGCATCTCTGCAATCCCTGAACTTTCTCCCCAGTCCATCACCTCTCTTACCCAGGGGTGTCTCTGGGATTGCTCTGGGATGTGATGCTCCAAATACAGAGCGAGGAGAGCCCCACTACTTCCACACCTACAATCAAAGAACTGAGGCAAGGCACAAGGCAGCCCCTTGGCAGATGCCAGGCCTCACCTGCGCAGGTTGTTCAGCACCAGGATGTTGGCATACATGTAGTAGATGTAGTAAGTGTAGGATGGGTTCTTGTGGGAAGTCCACTCGTCTGGCTTTGGGCTTTTAGTGCTGAACATGTGTCCACTGTGCTTGGATTCATCATCCACGCTGTCAAAGCCCGTGATCTGCTTGGCAAAAGGAACAAAAAAGGTGCATCTCACACTCCCCACCTCGTCATGCCCTGGTGGGCTCACTCTGCCCCACCACAGCTCACCAGAGCCCGGCTCTGCCCTGGGCCCCCCAAGGGCAGGGTCGGGCAAGGCTGCAGACCTCGCTTCTCACACCCCCCCAAGCACTGTCCAGGACCCAACATAAAGCTCACATCTCCCCAGGAGATGGGTGGACAGCGATTCCCAGCCCCACAGCTGCCAGCCCAAGCAATCTGACCCCTCCTGCACTTCTGGCCACACCTCCCTTCCCCAGAATGAGGCAGAGCCCCCTGGCCCACTGATGCCATTTTCCATGTCAGGGCCATTCCCCCTTTCTCGTGCACAAACAGGAATGTGAATTCTCCCCACACCTGACAACATCACCAGGTGACACTCACGTGGCGTAGAAAGACACTCAGCTCTTTGTGGGCTTGGGGATTGATAGTTGCCTCAAACACAGGAACAAAGATATATTCCAGCATTTTCCCAAAGTGGGGGAGGAAATTCTTAGACCTGAACACATCACTGTGGACACAGACAGGGATTAGTTGCTACCAGAGGGACAACACGGCCCACTGTCCCCACAACCCTTTCAGGGATGAGGAATCTATAAGGCACAGTGCTCCCTCAGCCCCACAGCACATACTAAATCCTGGGGACTTGGATCATCCACTTCATGTTGGGGGAATAGACCCGGTGGGTGTTGAACCAGTTGGCCAACTTGGCCCACTCCTCAGGCGACCGCCCGTAGATCGAGAGCCGGGGCTCCGTGTGCTGGTACTTGGCATCCTCCAGGTCAGAGCCAACCTCCTGCAAACCAGAGCACACCATGCAAGGGAAGCCAGAGCAGCAGCAGCACAGCTTCACCCTGTTCTCCTCCCCTCTCTCCATACCTTGATGATGGTAGCAAAATACTCGCCGTTGATGGCATTCTCTGTCTTCAGGTAGAGGTCCCTCAGCTCGCTGGCCCCCACGGGGTTGTACTTGTCATTGAACTTGTCAAAGCGCTGGAATGTCTGCCGGCCCTGGAGCAGGGAGGTCAGGCTCAAACACTGCCCTCACAGCTTGGCAGGGAGCAGGGACTGAGCCAAACCACCCAAAACAGCATCACCAGGAGCTGCTGCACCCTGACACAAATATTAATGCACACAACAAGTGTGGGTGCACAGGGAAGGCAAAAGCCATGGGGGAAGAGTGGCCCAAGAGTGATCTTACATTAAATGTTCTACCACTTACAGCATGGACATCCAGGGAATCCACTGTCAGGTCGTAGGGGTGCAGTTTGAGCTGCTGGAAAAGCTGTTTCAGGGTGAGCTGTTTGCCCTTGGCATCATAGACCACGCGGTCGGCATCCACACAGTAGGATTTCTTGATGAAACGCAGAAGGTGCTTCTGGTTCATGCAGGCTGCAGCATGGATGTGCGTGTCCACCTGGGAAAACAGAGGGACAGCTTCAAGCTGGGATGCTCAGGTACCATCCCAGGGGGGTGAACAAGCCCCTCAGGTGAGCACGTTGTGTGGGGAGCAGGGCTCAGCCCAGCAGGTGAACACAGTCAGAGGGCACAGCTTTGCCAAGAGCATCGAAGGCAGCACATCTCATTCACAGGAGCAATGCTGCTGCTACAGACATGGACTCTAACATCCAGTTCCCAGGGAGGGGCAGGCACCATGACAGCTCCTCTCCAGGGTCCCTGGGGCTCTAAGCCTTGCCTTTTACCTTCCTGCAGTTGTAGAAGTCACGGTGGGGGTTGCTCTTCAGCTCCTTCATCTCCTCCATCTCATTGAGCATTTCATGCACTTGGAATTTGGACGAGAGGAACTTGAGGCGCCGGTGAGTGTAGGTCTTCCTGGTGAGAGCGAAGGCAGAACAGTCACTGGGCTCCTCACCCCTCAGCACAGGGACACAGATTCCACCTGGGCTGGAGGAGCTCATGCTGGCCAGCCCTGCTCCCCTGAGGTGCCTCCCCTTGCTCTGTTACAGAGCTCTGAAGGAAGGCTGGCCAGCTGGGAGCCTACCTACAGGTCCTGTCTCCAGCCCCTGAATGCTGCTTTGCTTAAGATCCAAGCCAAGAGGGCTGACAAGCACTGAAGACACTTGTGCAGCCAGGTGTGTCACCACCATGTTCCTCCCTATTGCCAGGAAGGGGAGGGGGCTGCCCTGACCTCCCTCTGCCCACTGAGGCAGGATTTGGTGGGTTGTGCACTTACACAGGCCCCTGTGCAATCAGGACCAAGAGGAAGTTCATGTCATCAATGAAGTGCTCGAGGCTGGGGTAGGGCAAGTCCTTTGGCTCATTTCTCTC